GACCTTTGCGGTGAACAAAGCGGTGCCTATCTTGAGTGAAGTACGAGGCGTGGACCCGAAGGTCGCGCGTGCGGTGGCAAGGCAAGCTTCTTGGAGGAGGCTAGAAAATATGGAGGCCGGGAGCGTGAGGTGTGGAAACCGCCCGACGGTGAAGAGGGGACGGTGGAAGTTCCTCCGCTGCGTGACAAAGTTCCTGAGCGCGATAAGGAGTTGCTCCTGAAGCACGTCGACCGTGTCAAGGAGTTGATGAGCGTGACGGCTCGATCTGGTGAGCGCTTATGTTCCTGGATGAAGACCTACTACGACTACAACTCTCGAAGGATTTGGTTGGAGCTGTGGATCCGTACGGGGCGGTCTAAGACGCCGAGTGCTAGACGTCGCCGTCGCCCTGGCAAGGCGGTCACGTTTGATTTTTCGTCGCTTTACAAGCCGTATGCCGAGGTGATCGACGACTTGGACTTTTCCCTGAGCGTGACGAGGACGCTTCGCACTACGTCGCGGTGGTGAGGTGAGAACGTCCCGCTCGGACGCCTCTGCCTAAGACTGGCCTGGTGGACGTTGTCACGGTGAACCTACCGAATGGTTTCGGAGTCTATGATGATGATGACGCCGAAGACTGTGTGCACCGTGTCGTGGAAGACGGGCGAAGGGTGGTGTGCGCGGATGGCAACTTTGAGGCACTTTCAAGTGGTTATATTGACTGTTTACCGTCTCAAATGTTGGCCGACACTGGCGCTACCCTAAGTCTCGTCGACCGTTGCGTGCTGAAGCGACTGGGACGGCCTTCGGAGTCGCTGGAGCCTTACGAAGGTCTGGTCAGGAGCTCGTCGGGACACACGCTTCGGATCCGTGGCTGGATCAGCTTGTCGTTCCGGCTTGGGTCGCCGACAAGCTGCATGTCGACGCGATTCTGGGAGTGGACGCTTTGGGCGCGTTCGGCGCCGTGATTGACGTGGCGGAGCGCTCCCTGACGCTGACGAGCTCCGGCAAGGTGCTGCCTCTGGGCTTTACGATGGTGCAAGAGTCCTACATGGCGACGATGGCGACGTCGGTACGGCTCCCTCCACGAGAACAAGCTCTTGTGAGGGCTCGAGTGGTGGGGGACGTGGCCGATAAGGCCATTGTGCTGGTCGAAGGCTCGCTGGGCCTGCCGCCTACGCTGTGCGTAGCGCGAACACTGTGTACGGTGGACGACGGCCGAGTGATCGTTGAGGTGTGCAATGCTTCCACGGACGAATACTGGATTCGGAAGGGGACGGTCGTTGCGAGCACGTCCGTGATCCCCGAGTCTGCTCTCGAGCCGGCAACGACGGCGCCTGGTGGAACGGTGCCCGCTGAATGCGATAAGTCGGGCGGGGTGAGTGCGATGTCCGTGTCGGAAAAGCGTGAGGAAGGCGTCGGCGAGAAGGTGAAGGCCTCGAAGCCCGACATTCCGCCCGACAAGTCGGACGGCATGAAGTCTGACTTCTCCGAGTCCAAGTTGTCCTCCGAGCAGAAGGAGCTCTTCCAGACTGAGCTGAACGGCTTACACTCGATGTTCGTGGAGTCCTCGAAGAAGCCGGGACGTACGGACCTGCTACAGTTCGAGATTTACACCGGCAACAGCGCGCCGATCAAGCAGGCACCGTACCGTGTCTCGTTGGCTGAAGGAGAGATTATGGAGGCAGAGATCCAACCGTATCTGGAGTTGAATTTGGTCCGTCCATCGAACAATCCATGGGCGAGCCCGGTCCTGATGATTCGGAAGCCGGACGGTGGGATACGGTTCTGTATCGATTACCGTAAGTTAAATTCGGTCACGGTGAAGGGCTGCTATCCCATGCCGCTAATTGATGACATCTTGGATGTGCTGGGGGACGCTCAGCTGTTCTCGACGATCGATATCGCCTCGGGCTACTTGAACGTGCCCATGCACCCGGACAGCGTGTCCAAGACGGCGTTCACATGCAAGTACGGTCTGTACGAGTGGCTAGTGATGCCATTTGGACTCTGTAACGCTGTCCCAGCGTTCAAGCGGTTGATGGAGACCGTGCTAGTGGATCTAAAGTGGCGTATCTGCCTGGTCTATCTCGACGACTGCGTGATTTTCAGCAAGGACTTCCCTACGCATCTGGTGCGTGTTCGTCAAGTGCTGACTCGCATCCAGCAAGCGGGCTTCAAGCTCAAGATGAAAAAGTGTCATTGGGGAAGAAGTCAAGTTGCCTTTTTGGGTCATATTGTCACGTCTACGGGTATCCTACCTAATCCAGGGAAGGTAAAGTGGTCCTGAACGGGAAGAGGCCTGTGGACGTGCACGGCATACGGTCGTTCCTTGGATTGACCAGCTATTTCCGTCGCTACATTCCGGGGTACGCTTCTATTTCAGCACCCCTGGAACGCTTGAAGGCCAAGGACGCTCCGTTCGAATGGAGCGAGGACTGTGAAGGTGCTTTTCGCCAACTGAAGAGGGCCCTCATGAAGCCTCCTATCCTAGTCGATCCGGACGGTAAGAAGCGGTTCAAGTTGTACGTTGACTCGTCACGGTACGCGGTTGGAGCGTGCCTCATGCAGGAAGTGGGCGGTCGTAACCATGTGGAGGCGTATTTGAGCAAGTTGTGGACCGGGTCTCAGAAGAACTGCAGGACGGCATCTCCGAGATCGAGTGTTGGGGGGCCGTCTGGGCGACCAGGAAGTTCCGATGTTATCTCGACAAGCGGGAGTTCGACTTGTACACGGATCACCAAGCGCTGACGTGGGTGTTTAGTCCTGGCAACCGTACTACAAACGCTAAGCTGGCTCGGTGGACAATGGAACTTTCTAATTTGCAGTTTAAGGTGCATCACAAGCCTGGTGCATCCATGGGGCACGTGGACGGCCTATCTAGACTACCTACGGACACGGTGGCGGCTCTCTCGATGCGTGACTTGCTGAACCCGGAAGGCACGGTCGAGGACGTGCCTCCGACTTCAGTCGGGGAGCAAGCGAGGGCCGGCGACGGTCCTGGTATAGGTGGCGAGCGTGCCGATGGTCATGTCGACGACGAGTGTCCTGACCAGCCCAATGAAGCCGTGAGTGGCGATCCTGCGGGAAGTGCCCCTCTGACTCCTGTGGACCGGTTCGGTCTCGACTTCGACCAGTTCGTACAAGCGCAGCAAGAGGTTCCGTGGGTGAAGGCGCTGGTGGCGTTTCTGCTGGACGGAGCCCTGCCCTTGGATCCGTTCCTCCGGTCTACAATTGTGAAGATGCGGTCCCGATACGTGGTGCAGAACGGTTTACTGATGAGGAAGGTGCACTTGCCAGCTCGGGTCGGACCTGCTCGGTCCTTGACCGTCCCGGTAGTGCCTGTGCCGTACGTGGAAACCGTTCTACACTACTGTCACGCTGACGTACTATCCTCGCACTTGGGTCTGACAAAGACGCTCGAGATAGTGAGGAGGCACGCTTTCTGGCCTGGCTGGAGGAAGGACGTCACGGAGTATGTCCGCGCGTGTGCACGGTGTGGCAGGGGGAAGGGGTCGAAACCGTGGCAGGCCGGCCAGATGCAGCGAATGCCGGTGGCGGATCTCTCGGGTCCGTTCTCGATGCTGGTGGTGGACGCCGTGGGACCGTTACCCGTGACGGAGAGAGGGAACAAGTATATCCTTGTATTTGTCGACTACATTACGAGATGGGCCGAGGCCTTTGCTGTGATTCGCCTGGATTCGGTGACCTTCGTGGAAGTAATGGTGAATGGAGTGGTGGCGCGGCACGGTGTGCCATCACGGTTGCTGAGTGACAATGGACGAAACTTCACGTCGGAGATTGCGAAGTCCTTCTACCGGACGCTGGGGATTAAAAAGCAGTACGGTTCGGCGTACCATCCGCAGACTCTAGGACTGGTTGAGCGCTTCAATGGGACGCTCATGGGCATGCTGAAAATGCACGTGAGTGAGGCCCAGACGGATTGGGATCTATATTTGTCGAGGGTGTTATTCGCCTACAGGACAACCTACCATGAAGCGTTGGGCGACTCGCCCTTCTTTTCTTTCTACGGGCGCGATCCCGTGTTGCCGCTGGACGTCGCATTCCTGAACCTGGGCAAGAAGTGGAAGAGCAATGAGGTAGCAGCGTACCGTTGCGAACTCTACCGTACGTTGCGCGACTCGCGTCACCTAGTCGAGAGGTAGCTTCTGAAGGCACAGGACCGACATGAGCGTCGACTGGGCGAACGCGTGGCTGTGCAGTACGAGATCGGTGATCCTGTTTGGTTCTATCAGCTCTTCAGGAACAAGAGGGGCGAGGCGAGGACGAAGAAGTTGGCCTTTGCTTGGCATGGTCCGTATCGTGTCGTTGGTCGAGTGGGCGAGAACGCCTATCGGATCGACATACCGTCGCACCCAGACAAGATCGTCACGGTGAACGTCAACCGGTTGAAGAAGTTCCGTGGCCGGTGGACTCGGCCCTACATGGACGAAGTGCCGGAAGGTATTGTGGAGGACGGTGAAGAAGTTGAAGACGGTCCGCTAGAGGAAGCCGATTTGCCGGCATCCAGTTTCACGGAACGGGTGACCATAGGTCGCGGGGATACGGCCCTCAGGGGGTTACTTCGCCGCTGCTGGAGGTTGTTGCAAAACAAGTGGCCGACCGTGCTGTAAAGTACCTGGTGCTTACGGCTAATTTTGAGAGTCACTGGATTCCTCGGGCCGAGTTAATGCCCGAGTACAGCGACTTAGTGACGGCTTTTGAGCAAGCCGAAATGAGGAAGCAGCGCCTGCCTGAGCTACGGAGGAGTTTCCGTTTGGAAGAGGCTAACGCTGAAGTGGAAGACGAAGACCTGCTCATGGCTTAGCAGCGTCGAAAAGGGTGTTGTTCGTGTTCCAAGGGGCGGTCGTGTACGGCGATGGTACGGTCACTTGGAACTCAGTAACGGATCGGTGGAAAGGGAATTACGTGTTTTGAATTTGAATTGTTGAAGGGACGCTAGCCGATTTGGAGAAAGAAAAATGAACGACTAGTGTCGCGTCCCGAATGACGGCTGCGACTTACTTGGGCTTGGGAGAAGCCGGAGGGGCGGCACTCTTCTTGGACGGAGTGTCGCCGCCCTCGTCGCCGGCGCTGCTCTTCTTACCGTCGTCTGTCGGGTCGTTGGCGCCCGAACCGCGGTCTTCGTCGGCCTCGTGGTCGTCCAGCTCTTCGTCGTCTTCCTGATCTTGGTCGGCCTCGGTCTCGGGCAGATGCTCGTCCAACTCGTCGGGTTCGCCGTCGTCCTCCTCGTCGAGATCTGGCGTCGGGGGCAGCACCGTGAACATGTCTTCGTCGTCCTCGAAGTCCGAGTAGTCGTCGTGCTGCTCCTTGTCCTCGTCGTACGCCTTCTGGGCAGGGAACGGTTGCTTGCCCATCTTCACGAGCGGCTTGAGCTTCTTGGCGAGGGCTCGGATGCGAGCGTCCCCTAGCAGAACCTTCCAGGTGTCGGCGCTTTTGTTGCCGACCCACGACGGGTTGGGCGGACTGCTGCCGGTGACATCGATGGCTTCGTCGCTGAGGCGAAGGTGCGCTGGCTTGGTCGGGTTCAGCGCGTCCGTCTGTTCGAGGAGATCGGAGATGGACTGGTATCCGTCCTCGTCCACACGGTACGGATCAAGGGCTCGGGCGATGATGGCGTCGTAGCGGCCACGGTCGTTGCGGACCAGCGTGGCGAGGTCCGTCGCCACCGTCGCGTCCGAGTTACCCCTCGCGTTCGCCTTCGCGGCCACCGAGCGCCGAGCAGCCTTGCCGCCAAGCCACATGAGGTTGTCATGGGTGGCGCTCTCGAAGACGTCCAGGAAGTCGTAGAAGCCGAGCTGGACGATGTTCAGGCTGAGGAAGGCGAGCCGTGCCTGACCGGCGTTCGACTTCTTCTTGCGGCGGGCCGTGCACTCATCAGAAGGCGCGTACAGCGCGCAGGCGAAGAAGACGTCGTGCCAGTGCATCCAGAAGCGCCAGTGCACCACGTGCAGCGCCGCGTGCTCCTGATGGTCATACCAGGCACGCGGACCGGTCCACGGGTACGCCATGCGCGGAGGAGTCTTGCCCTGGGTGCCCGCCTGCTTGATGATCTTGGAGATGTCGCGACGGATGGTGGCCGGACACTTGGCGGGTAGCGGAAACTCGTACTCCTCCGCGCCGTCGTCCTCGGGGGCGCCCTCCTCGTCGTCTGCGTCGTCTTCGTCTTGGTCCTGGGCCCTGGACTTGCGCTGCTTCTTGGACGGAGGGGGCTTGGAGGCGCCCCTGGTGGTCGGTCGCTTGCCAGACGAGCGTGCCTGCGGCGCGGGTACGATGAACAGGTCATGCGGGGGTGCAGCGACGACGTGCAGCGAGTCGGGCAGCGACAGCAGGGTCACGGTCTCTAGTAGCTCGACGTGTCGTCGGCCAAGACGGCGACGGCGACGGCGTCCACGGCGCCCACGTTCGTGGAGCCGCCGTTGGCGAAGAGCGCAGCGCGCAGGCGGACGTAGAAGTCCACTTGGGCACGGAGCCGGGCATCGGCTTCAGCGTCCGCGCCCCGGGACCGGCGATCGAGGCGTGCGCGCAGCCGTCGCATGACGGTCTCCTTGTTGACGTCTCGCGACTTGGTCATGGCGGAAGGTTGAGGCTGAGGCTTCTTGGGGGTCTTGTTCTCTTCTGGGCGAAAGCTGAAATGAGGGCGAGACTGCGAGTTGCCGCGGCCACTGCTGATGCATTCCGACCTGGCAGTTGGGATGTTTGGCTGCGGGTTTCCCTTCCTGGAAATGGGAGAGGCACGGTTGGCGTGAGACGGTCGAGTGATTGACTAAGTTGATTGACGAGACTTGCGACGGTGGGTTACCCGTTACGGTTGGACACTTACGAGGATGGTTGCGAACGTGGAGTGCTGTGGACGACCGTGAGGAGCGAACCGAGGCGAGGGCATTTCGCTTTCGCTCCATGACGAACATGGAAACCGTGACGGATGCTGTCGAGTGGTGCCTGTGGCACTCCCTGTTCGTGTGGAAGATTGTGTGGTGGGTGCTGCGCAACCACTGGCCGGCCGTATTGCTGGTGTTGATTGGTGCTGTGGGCGGCGTGATCACGAGGCCCTTGTGGAGCATTGCAGGACGATTGATCGGGGCCGTGTTTGGCTTTGCATTCAAGTTGCTGACTCTGTTGAAGGTATGCGTGAGACGGTGCCGTCGCTTCGTGAACGGTCCGTCCGTACAAGGCAGACCGTCCGCGGAGCGTCGGTGGAAGGCGTTTGAGGCAATCTGGGCCACGCCCATGGTGGTGCTCGAGGCCCGAGGTGAACACAAGAATGGCTTAGGCCGGCTACTGTACAAGTGGCTGGATGCTTACCACGCCCTGTGGTGTGTGTTCCTGCCCGACGTTCTCGAGCTGGGTGGTGAGTCTACCGTGAAATACTGGCGCGGATCGAGGGCCGAGTGTCGGCGCTCGGTCGATCGTGCCTGCTGCGTAGGCCGTGGACTGTGGGCGTTCCTAACGCTAGCAACGTACGCAGTGTTCTACACTGTCATCTACGTGTATGCCTTGGTCGAGAAAGCGTGCCAAGGAGCGGTGGGCGTGGGTGTTCTACTCCTGACCCTGAACTGCATGTTGGCGGACGGTGGGCTGACAGCCGACGGTGGGTTGAGCCCTGATGCAGTCGTGATGCAGCGGAGATGCATGGTGGCAACGACTGGGGTCGCCAGCCACTTGCTGAAGTGCTACGAGGCGGCGTCGAGAGTGCGTTCGCCTGCGAAGATGGCGGAGGAGAGCTACGCCGACTGGCTCCGCGACGTCGAAGAATTGCAGCAAGCCGAGCGTCTGAGTGAAGCCTTTTGGCGTGCGGATGGGTGCGTCGGGAAACCGAAGCCTGTGTGTACCCTGAGTGGGCTGAGGGCGGAGCAGCGTGCCCTGCGCGCGAAGATGAAGGCGGACAAGGAGGAAGAGGACGCTCGACGAGGACGTCGAGTCTCAGTCGAGGAGGATGTCACGAGTGGGAACGGTAGTCACCGTCTCGGGTACGGTCGCGGCCGTCCTCCGGCAGCCTGTCAATCAGCGCGTGGACTACTACTCGAGGATCAGCTGTTCGAGAATGAGCTGACTGAGCAGTCATCGGAATTTAGCGAGGATTAGCTGGCGGCGGGCCAGTTGCATGGACGAAGTGTCGTCATGGAAGCAGTGGCGTGTTCCGCGAGTAGGCGGTGACGTGAGGAGACAGGATGGAGGTCACGAGCGCTGCGTGGCTCGGGGCGTGAGCCTTGACGTGAACCAAGGGCGGAGGGGTGAAAGGAGGTGACCATGAGTTCGGGGGCGGCGGTGTGTCGACGCTCAAGTTGAAGAGAAGCAAGAGAGAGAGCGGGGCGCAGTGCTCCGTGCCGGGTAGGTTGGTCAGTCGTGAATTTGCCGTGGAAACAACAAGTTGAATCTTTGCATTTGACTTTGTTGTATTTCATACCGTTCCTTACCTGTCCGTACCGTCCTACTTCGTTCTCGCAGCGGCAGCCGTCCCTTCCAGGGCGACTCGCGACACCTACTACTTAGTATAACAGCAATGCAGCGAGCTTGGTTAAATGTGAAGTCATAGGAAGCGATAGCCGCGCATAGTTAGTTATAGCAGCATGTAGTCAGCGATAGGAGCTCTTATTTAAGCGCTAGCAGACCGTAGTAAGCGATATGAACGTATAGTTAGCGATAGCAGCACGTAGAAAGCTATAACAGTGCGACTACACGTAGCGAAGGTGTGCACAAAATTATTACTAGCATGAGCAGCATATTTTTACTGTTATACTTAAGGGATGGATACATTATAGCTACAGCGGTGCTCTGCGTTCATCTTGGGGGGATATTTAGCTACACTTGCTTAAACGCGTTTCGTATATCTTTAAGGTACAATGTGTAGCGTTAGGAGAATGCGTTAGTGGGGTAGCATATAATATTCACTGAGTGGAAGCCTTTTATTATAGTTTACGCTGGGATTCCTTTTCTAACCGTATTATGGGGCGGATATACACGCAGGAAACCGAATAACAAAGGGCAAACGTGACTTTATAACTATATAGTTACGAGTGCGAACTCTCTATACCTTACCTACCGTAATGCAGGTGGTACACTAAATGGTAATGTTCGCCGCGTAGTAGAATAATAAACCATAGCCACGTCTAAAACAATGAGTTTTGAAGTAGACCACGCAGTAGTTAGCGCAGCCCGCAGCTACGTTTTGGTGGAACACACGAAATACTAAAACGCTGATGTATACTCGGTATTTATATAAGATCACAAACACTTAATGTAATGCTAAGTACAGGAAGAGCGAAGCCCATACTTTGATTGTTGCTGGGGCTTATAGTCCAATGTAGAATGAAGGTATTATAGCCTACGAACTAAAAACAGAGAGCTACGGTGGGATGATATACTGAATAAACAACACGTAAGACATAGACTTATGTGAGCACACATAAGATACCAACACCAGATCGATCTACCCTACCATGGCATATTGCTCATGTTTATTTCTACTATAATCACAGTAAACGCAGATTGTGAGATATGTACTGTGCGGTACTTTGCAATTCAGGTTAAATAGTTGCGACGGGAGCACAGGACCGTACAATAGAGAATGTTTTACCCTGAAACATGCATCTACTCATAGTACACTGACGTTGGAATAGCTATTACCAGCCACGTCACTCTACTGATAGTACTTCAAACCTATAAACAACTGTAGCGCTGCTCGAGTCTCTACGAGGCTTTTCGCGCACGATATCTCTCAGCTCGCTAAAAGCGAACAAGGTCTTGTGAACGCACTATTTTTCAACCTTCTCCGTGAACACGTTTGGGGCAAAAGGCAACGTCCTTAGATCACCGAAGGCATGCCTCGCAGCGGGTTCGCAGTGAATCCGTGCGAGGCAACCCCGGAAGTGGTGTGGTGGGTCTTAAAGTCGGCCAGCTAGTTGGCTTGCATGCAAGCTAGCTGAGGAACGCCACCCCCTAAACTAAAACTAAGCTGTTACAGTAAAAAGTGTCAATAGTGCATTTGCGCCACCCGAAATCTGGCTCAGTCTACGTAATTAGTGCGGGCTACGGTAATTACGCACCCACACCAATAATAAAGCCACGCTAATATGCAAGTCACAGTAATACGGGAGACTTTACATTATGCCTAATAGTCTAGTATTGGTTAGAAAGGCATGCCAAAAGTAAAGTCGAACGAGTTTGGGAAAACTGGCTTGACCAATCTGTTCTTAGAATATTATTCTTTTAGTGATGGGGACGTAAACGACGTTAACTGAAAACCCATCATTCGGCGTACTCTATATCATAGGTTCAAAAGTTGAGCTCTAGTTTTGATGTAGTTCTAGTACGAGTTTCGTAATTTTAACGCCAGATGCATAGTTATGACTAGTATACGTTTACACTAGCTATTGCAAAACAGCAAAATTCGCCACAAACCTATCATACAGCATATACTATATGATAGGTAAACGTTAACGTCGTTTACGTCCCCCATCACTACTATTCTATCGTGTCTTACTAACAAGCAGCTTCTTTCGCTCCTGATACCGGGCACGCGCGAAGCATCTGCCCATGTTTTGATTGACCGAGTAAAAAACACCACCCGCGCATACAAAAACCAAGCTGCCGATGTTTTTTACTCGAAGGGGCGCCCTGAAACTGTCACCCGGTGACAGCTCTGAGGGGTCGCCGTAACAAAAGTAGGGAAACCTGCTCGCTTTCCGCGCAGTCGCATGACTTTTATTTCTATTTGGATGGGTTCACCTTTCTAAACCATAGTTAGCTCAAGTGAGCCCGGAATCCATATTTGCGCGCCCTTTGATTGCCCGCTGACGGGTCGGCAACGCAACTTAAGTAAGGAAGTTTCCGCGACCGCACGTTACCGCTCAAGTTTGATTTCGGTGGTGCGACGCTATGTTGAGTGCGGAGCGCATGAACTTGAGCGGGAGAGTACCGTTGTTGCCTGTTCAAGTAGGCAAAAGTATCGAGTACCTAACCTGGGAAATGTTGACACGAGTCTACGTTTATAAATTCTGTCGCAGATTTTTTTTCGCTGTCCCATGCGAGTCGCCAACAATAGCGGGGGCAAGCGAGCGCGATGTGGTGTGCTTGCACACAGGTGTTTTTTACGTTTGAAATTGCGAAAAGCATAGTGAAGCTAAATGAAGCGCTCCGATCGCGACCATAGTGAAACCCAGTGTTTCTTTCATAAAAAACATTCACAAATTTGGCGAACCGACTCTGCGAACTATGCCGCGCTTCGCACGCATGCTTCTCTCAGCGATTTATAACTTTGCTTTGGCGGGGTTGGTGCAGTACCCGCTTACCAGTGGTAAGATGGTTGACGGCTCCGCGTAAGCGGTTGACTTGCCGTTACGCGGTAGTGCTCTTGGTGGAGAACTATATAGCTCGGTAGCTCCTTGGGAGCTTGGTGGCTCCTTGTGGACTTGTTTGGCTCCTTGTTAGCTTGGTTACCGCTACACGAACGCGTGGTAGGCAGCTGGACAGTGTAGGTGTTGAGTTGACTGTCAACATTGTGTGGATATATACTTGATTGCGTCGATGGAGACACAATAGCTTAGCTAGCTACGGAAGTACAAGCAGTTTCCAAGATTGAAGCAGGCGCAGTAGATGCTCATGTTTTCCTGGTACTGCAGCGCAGGGTTATGTACATCCGCGAGTTGTCCATCGGCATGCGCACTATCAGATGATGCGGGTTTGCGGGGCTATTGTGTCTATCTCTAACGTCCTGTGTAGATGTAGTGTTAAGTCGTTGTTTTCGGCGAGCCCAACACCAACGAGGATGAATTAAGCAGCATGTTTTTGATTAACCTTTACCTGGGCCAGAACTTAGGTATTCAGCATTAACGGTGTCCGATACGCTCTAGGCGAAGGTGCCTTCTCTCGTTAGGCAATTTGAGATTCCCAATCCGAGTTGACGTGTGACCTTGTGTAATTCCTTGTCGTGGGGTTGCGCTTCAGCCCCCACTTTACATACTAGCATCGAGACGGGGCAACTGGTCTGTTATCTGAAATGCTAATGAGACAACGGCAACAAAAATGTTACTTATCCACCATTTAGAGTTATCGAGATAATCGCCTTAAAAGAGGCCAGGTTCAAAATCGTAACTAAACGAAGAGTTTTGATTTTCAAAAATTTGAAGGGGGTGTATCGGCACGGATACCATTTCGAAAAGCCACTCGGACCACTACCTACAGCCATGCAGACACCACCCACGACGCCGACAGCACCGACCTCGCGCGCCGCTGCGCCAACTGCGCAGCCTGCGCAACCTCCAGCGCTGCCTCTCTCAGCCTCGCCGCCGGGCCGGCCACCTCGGCACCAAGCCCGCCAGCCACGGCTCCGAGTCCGCCAGCCGCGACGTCGGGTCCGCCAGCCACGACATCGTCCTCCCAGGCGCTGACTCCGCCGGCCACAACGTCCCCCTCCACGGCGCTGACTCTGTCGGCCACGGCACCCCTTGCTGCTCGGCGTCGCGAAGCAGACGAAGAGCCTGATTCTGCCGACGATTCTGTCTGTGGTGTCGATCCCACTGCTACCAGTTAGAGTGAGGTGAACGAGGACAGCAGCGACGACGACTTTACGCCTGATTCGGAGGCGTCGCCCAGCGACGACTAGGAACCGCTCACAGCAGAGAGCGCGAGCAGTGAAGCCGAAGATGAAGAGGATATTAGTATCTTTTTGAATGACGCGAGTCCTCGAGCCCGTGTGGCTGAGGTGATTCATGCGGACGCGTGTGAGAACGAGTGCGTCAAGGGCAAGGCTCGTGAGTTGGAGTTCTTGCTGTGCTCGCTGGACCAGATGACGAAGCAAGAGCGCACCACGAGCTTGTACACGCTCCTGACTGTGTTGATGCAGACCCCCACGGTTGAGCGTAAGAGAGGACGGGGTGACCGCGAGAAGTTTCCGTACATCCTCCCCTACGTAGGTCATGTGTGCCGACCCACTTTCGCGCTCTGCTATGGAGTAGTCCCCATTACCTTGCAGCGCTACAAGATGCGCATCCGAGACGGTAACATGTCGATCAAGGCGCATGGTAACCGGCTCAACACGCATGCAGCTCGTAGAGGCTGTTAGTTCGGCGTCCAAGAGCTCAATCACGGTGCATCTGCCTCGCGGAAGCTCAGCGTTCAAGATCTACAAACCTATTCTCACCGAATTATACAAACGACTTGACGGCATCCAGAAGTTCCCGATTTTCACGAAGGACGCATCGCAGCCGGGCGTCGTTGTCTGCAAGAAAGGCCCCGAGAGCGAACCTGTAGCGATTAGTTTGAGCCGTCAAATTGACGGGATCTTCACCACGAAGGAGAAGGTGCAGCGGATGATGACGGGCCATATCGAGACGCTGTCCCCTCCTGTCCGCAACACCGAGAAAATTGCGCAGATGTACCACAACATCAGGCCCTACGTTCCTGCTGAATTTCAGAGCGATCCCCTCTACGCCAAGCCTAGCGAGCAGGAAGGAGAAGATGCCAAGTCACGGAAACAAGCACGACGTGAGCATCGCGCGGCAATGGCCGTGGCGGCTAAGGCTAACCAAGACCAGCGTGGTATCACGGAGGCTGTTGCGACGAAAAAGAACCCAGCAAAGAAGAGGGCTACTGCAGCAAAGAAGACGCAAAAGAACAAGAAACACAAAGCTACTGCGGATCTGCCTGCTGAGCAAGAAGAGGCAGCCCAAGATTGTAGTCGATCATTATGATACTTATGTCCACAGTTCATTCAAAATGTTACTTACATCCAGATATCAAATTTTCTAAAAAAAATCAAAAATATACCCCTGGTGATTTGAAGTGACGGCACAAAAGTGAGATTCTAACACTGTTAGGCTTCGAATTAGCTAAAACGGACAACATTGTCGGATTCGCTGACTAATTTTACACCAGTTCATAAAAAAAAATTCCCTTTCGGGGTTGAAGTCGGACATATATTTTTTGACGGTCTCGTTCTCGGTCGTTTCTTCATACCAGAAGCTCGGGAGGGGCTCAAACGAAAGAGGAGACATCCCTCTTTCCAATTATGCGCCTAAATCGCGATTCGTACTTAGGTTGATAAGTAACATTTTGTTTGCCGTCGTCTCTAATTAGAGAGCCTGGCGACGTAAATACTGTTTAGGTTTACGCTGGTTACGCTTATCACAACCGCTCACTACCGACAACATAGGTAGGAAACCGGCCTACATTGCCCCCCCCCCCAAGCTTCACATGGGAACACCATGTGCGGCCGCTATCTTTGACGCGCTTGGGGATCGCCTCGCCCCTCGGTCGACGAAGTAGCGCACCCCCAGCCCCAGCGTCGGTTTCCCGCTCGCTAGGAGCTGCCACAAGCCATCAGACACCAGATACCATCAGGGAGCCACCGCATCCGCCGTGCACACCCAGCATGTTCCCTCGCCGCTTTCCGAAAGCTGGCACGGGTTGGACATCACCGGGGAGCCGATACTTGCCTCGGCTGTGTGCCGACCTTGGCTTGCCCAAACGTGGTCCACCCAGAGTCGCTCTCACCACTCTCCGGGGCACTCTCCGGGGTTTGCCGCGAGTACTTGGACACCACCGGGGAGCGCACCGGCCTTAGCGCGGCCACCGCCCCACGACCAGCATCATCTTCTCAGGAGGTGCCGCTCCCCCCAGTCAGTCGGGGGTACAGCAGAGCTCCGCGGCACCGCGCGTGTCGGGCACGAGCACGAGCAGGAACGCCGCATACGTTCGGGCGAGCCCCTGCAATCGTCTGTCCTTCACGAACGCTACCGCACACGCCAATACTTGTCCTAGCACACGCCCTCGCGGCGTTCCTGCGCACGCCTTAGCTTCCTCAAGCCGGCCACACTCGACCAGCTTCCGCCGCAAACCGTCGTCGTTCAGGCTCTGATGTCCTCCTCGCTTCTCTCCTGCAAGAAGCGATAGGTTAGCAAGGATTTATAAACAGAAGACCGACGTAGGCGCTGGAACGCCTAAAGCCACCAACATATGCTTATGTTCTTCTGCGTGAATCTTAGACTGGGGTCCCTGTTGTCTTGCCTGTCCGGATAGGGCAGTTCTGGAAGACTGGGGAACCAGTGAAACTTGGTAAAACTAGGTAAGGGCTGAACCGACTACACCTGATAGAAATAGTAGACGTATCCATTTTAGGAACACGCTAACGTGGCTTCGCTCTCTTTAACAATTATATCCTCGTAAGCACTAACTCACTCCTAACGCACTTGCCTTATTAGATTCCGGACTTTATTCTGCGAAGACAGCTAGAAGCGCTGTATGGACAGCCTCCCATACATTAGTTCATTCAAAAATGGTTGCTCGTACCACAAGCACCGTTCAGACAACATCACATCGGTGACGCATAACGTTCAGACAGATTAGCTTGACAAGCCACCAAGAGTTGTACGACCATGGCGACGATGATGCCGTCGTGTGTTTTAGGACATGGGAACTAGATGACATGATGAAGTAATCCCTTCTCGCTGCGTCACCGTAGCCCACCACGATTCTGGCGACCTCCCTTTTCGAATAGAGGTACAGTGCAAACAATACACTGTCCTTTAATCTATTGTTTGCCTATTGTGAAGGTTATCGCAGGACATTAGCTTAAAAGAGTGGAACCTTCTCAAATGGAGGTGAGCACAGGTCGCCAAATACGCAACATAGCTGAGCTTCGTGAAGATAAGTACACAGTTGCATCATAAATACTTTAACGGACTTCCCAGCCCCAAGCAAAGCCCCTTACTTTCTAGTGCAGACTCAAAAGCTTCAAGATGGAGTTTATATTTGGGCGAATGCGTTAACTTTAAACAGCCAATCCGTGACATTCTCCCCTCTGATTGGCTCTCAAATGCTGATAGCGGGAGTTAGGGAAGCGGTTATGATGCAATTGTATTTCACTCACCTATCCCAGTGGGGACGATGAGCGGGATGGTGGTATGTTCACCTTTGTGTAGCAGTGCGAGTTTCGATGTACTATGACGAAGTGGGACGCTACCGAATGTTCACGTTCCACAGCGTCGCAGTTCATTTGAGAGGAGAGGGGTTTGTTTTGTAGCGTAGCCTTTACCTTGGTTGGCGCAACCAACCGGAACATGGTTTTTGCGCGGCAGAAACTATGTTCGCGGTACTGCTGGTGTTGTCTGTCATACGGAGAGAGGGGCTCTTGTCTATGGGGAGCAAGCAGCATTATCACTTCTCCCAACTGTTGTGACATTAGCCACAAAAAAATGCTAACGGTTGAAATCGTTTTTGCGTATACTAATGTTCCACAGTGATAACATGGGATGTTACCGAGTTTTTACCTTCTACAGCGACTCTCGTCCGGGTGGTAGAGCACGCGGCGGAAGACGGTAGACGCGAACATGGCCTGGGTGCGCACGAAGGTCTCGAGGTTCCACACGATGCAGGGCCCATCCGAAGACGCGCTCAGACACGCGGTGCAGTCTTGCACCACTTGAATTTTGTCCACTCAAAAAGGTACTAGGCCTAGAAAAATTAGTACAGTTGAGAGGGATTTTTTAGGATCCCTTAAGTTCTGGAGCTGCAAGTATTAAACGGACAGATCCCATCCCGATTCGATCGCTCAGCAAACAGGGTAGAGGCTGTCATGCTGAATATTTCATATCTAGAAATGGTAGGGATAATGGTTTCTGTAAGGTCAATATACATATCAATAGAATTTAATTGCTCTTAGAAAGCTCAGGTGTGAAGTGGAAGCATATAGTTTAATACTTCCTCAGGACGGAATAAGAAGAAGCTCCTGGATTGGTG